AAGAACGAAAYGATAAGAAGCTTGCAAGAGAGAATTGCTACTCTTGAGAGGGCAAACAAGAAAATAAGAAAGAGAAACGAGAGGCTGAAAGAGAAAACGAAGAAAAATKAARSTGAAAACTCACATGGTACACAACCTGAGACAACACCATCTGCTTGCACAATCGAGGAAATGACTCCACGATCCCGCACCAATGCTCAGATAGAAAAATCAGGTCTGAAATCAGCCAGTGTGCCAAAAAGTTTGCGAAAACAGCTATTGTTTAGCAATGTTATTGTGGATGAAATTCGAGATTCGGTGTCAAAAAACAAAACAACGGCTGGATCTCGAGYTGTCCGAAATATCGTGAGTGGCAAAATTGCCAAAAAAAAAACAACAAAATGATGCGTCTCATGAGCAAGCAAGTTGGACTGGGCAGGAATCACCTACGAAATACGAAGAGTAAGCTGGTGTCTAACAAGAAAAAGACACGCTTGGACGCTGCAAGGAAGCAGTTGGACAATGACGTCATCACATTTCTTGAACGTGATGACAACAGCCGTATGATGCCAGGAAAGAACGACGCGAAAAAGTGTGGAGCTGAGAAGGTRCAGAAACGCATTTTAAGCGATTATTTGTACAACTTGAGGGTGAAGTACCTATCTGAGAATCCAACAGTCCAAATATCTCAAGCCACCTTTTACAAAATGCGACCACCTTACATGCAGGTTGCAAGCTTTGCTTCACGCRACACTTGCCTGTGYCAGAGGCATCAAAACATGGCTCTTCTTCTTCGMCCTATGAAAGCTAAAAAGGTCATCACAACTGGCAATCCCGACATGTTTATAAAAGAAAACAGTGACGACCAAATCAAAGACATCTTGAAGAACATYAACAACAACGAGGATATGTCCTATGATCAATGGAAGCGTGTTGATGTAGATGGCAAGCAGCGCATGAAGATTGTCACCACCAAAGCAAGCAAACGCGACTTCTCTGCAATCTTCACAGAGTCCATTAAGAATTTCAGGGATCACGTGAAGCGCCATCATGAGCWGTATAAACAGCTGCGAAACCTTAAACTCAACCTTCCAGATGGCCACGTAATTTTGCAAATGGACTTTGCTGAAAATTACAGTTGTCAGTCCTGCGAAGAAGTACAGAGTGCTTTTTGGAATGGACCAACAATGGTTTCTCTGCACCCCATTGTTGCCTATTACAAAGATGCCAACAAAGAAGATTTGCAGCACAAATGTTTTGTGCTTGTGTCAGATGAGCTATCACATGATGCAACAGCTGTCTACACCATCCTTTCAACTTTCTATCCTCACCTTAAACAAGCAATCACTTCCGAGATGACCCACGTGCACTACTGGACTGACAGTCMTACTTCCCAATATCGCAATAAAACGATCTTTGCGATACTAGCAAACCACGTAGAAGAGTTTGGAGTTTCAGCAACATGGAACTATTTTGAAGCTGGCCACGGTAAAGGTCCCTGCGATGGAGTAGGTGGCTGTGCTAAAAGGATGGCAGATGAAGCTGTACGCAATGAGAAGGTAGTCATAGATGATGCACATGGGTTCTTTGCATGGGCAACCAAATACGAAAGTGMAAAAGCCGTTAAGTACATCTTTTACACCAAGGATGACTACCAAGCCGCAGCAACAAGAATTAAGCGTTACAGCAATGTGAAGTCTGTCCCAGGTACTATGACCTTCCATGCTGTCGTACCACTTGATCAGCACAAGATCCAAGCCAGGAAAACATCTTGCTATTGTGCAGCCTGTCYTGCAAATCCTCAAACCACTCAGTGTGAATGGAAGTCATTTATACTTTGTCAGCCAACCAAGACCACTGTCCAAAGCCAGCTGAACATCAAAGTTGATGATTATGTGGCTACAAAGTATGATGACGATTGGTATGTGGGCATGGTCGAAGAAGTAGATGATGAAGATGGTGAGGCAAGAGTAAACTTCATGACAAGACGAGGAGTCCCTGGGTCATACAAGTTTCAATGGCCATCCAGAGAAGATATCATATGGGTGACAAGGGACGATATTCTTTGCATCATTGAACCACCTAGGCAGGTCACCAAGACTCGAAAGACCTATAGTCTTACTCCGGCTACATTGGAACTGATCCAGACCCGCTTTGCCCTATGAGTAATTTGACCTTTATAGTTTTGTCATTTACGTTACCCTGATTGTATTTGTGAAGAATTTTGCTGTTTTTTTTTCTAAAAATCATTTTATTTTTGGTTATTTCATGTACGTTTATCTGTAGAATAACTTGACGTCCAAAAATGTTGTAAATGTATATTACTTTTTTTCATTGTTTGAAACCAGCATTTTTTTGTCATTTACGTTACTTACTTAGAATTGAAATTGAGCATTTTGTAATTGCATGATATCTTGTAGAAGCATTGATTTTTATCTTATTTTGCATACTATAATGGCATTGACAATTTACATGTGATATATGACACAAACTTGATATAGTCATTTACGTTACCTAAATTAGTCATTTACGTTACCACAAAAACTTTTACACATTGACGTTTTATAGGAGTTTTTTTCAAAACCTCGACTGGTGTACTAAAAGACAACATCTCTAGATGTCTTATCAGTTACAAATGTAAATAAAATGCTGTTGTGTTTAGTATAACAGAGAAAACAAAAATGTGTGTACCATTAATTGTAAAATTCTTCAGTGGCTGCTGAACTTATTAAAGCACATTTCATAGGATGTTGACCTCTTTGTGATATAGCTTTTAGTTAATTTTCAAGAAACCTATTTCAGGGATACAATTATAAATGAAAGATGAATAAAATTCAAAACAACCACCCCGTCTGCATATATTCAATCAGCTTTATAACTCAAAATCCCTAAACATTTGGGTAAGGAGTTGCCATAAGCTTTGAGACTGTAACTTTTTCCTGATTTGAGATACTGGTGACATTTTTTCGGAAAATATTCTATGCATAACAACTACGAAGATGAGCAACATCTCATTTGAAATTAAGAAAAGTCATTTTTTACCAATTTTGAAATTCCCTGGCTCTCGTTGTCTGAGAATGACTGAGTCGTTCTGTTCCTGATAGATATCACGATTTAGGAGGTTGTATAGCAGCAAACAAATATAAATTATTCTTACCCTTTCTGTGTCATGTAGCATGTCAGCAAATGCAGATCTGTTTGACAAAATACAAATTTTATTACAATGCAAACTTCTCATTGTTTTTTTTATATGCATTCTATACTTTGTGACAAAAAATCTAAACAGAGAGCAAACCGTATCAGACCAACTTTAACTGTAGTCGAGGAWGGTTTTTCTGACACTCCTACCAAATCGAAAGTAAAATATATTTAAAAACAAACCTTGCTATTTCATCTCTCATTTCGTAATCTTCGTCTTCCTCRATCCATTCCATTTTGCCGGTAATTGGCGAAAATTGTTGACAAAACATCTTTATAAAAGAGAGATAACTGTCAACTTTCTGCTGCACGTGTATATATTACGTGCACTACTGTGATCAGCGGTCATACCCTTTATATAACGAGACCTTTAATTGGTTGGTTTTCATTTTCATGTCTCTGGACCAATGAGCACAGTTGTAATATCAATGTCAAGCAACGCCTGGGCAAATTTGTGTTTTACTTTATAATTTTTCGACATGATCGATTGTTTTCTTATGATTTCTTACAATTTATCTTCAACTAAGACCGACCACGGCGAAGGAGATTTACTTTTGATATTTTCCGATGTTTCTTTTCGACGGGATTTACATTGTCCTGTGATTTCGGTAAATTATTTGACTCCCGGACATATAGTTTTTCCTGACATTCTGTCCGGGAGTCACGTCAATTGTATACTATGCCCAGCGGTAAAGAAGCTTTGAATTGTCAACTGAATTTGGTCAAAAGGAAGACTATCTACACCTAAATACAGTAAAGTATATTTGATTAGAATGGATTTACATTCTCCCGTGATTTCGTTGAATTATTTTGACTCCCGGGCATATATATTTGGAAAGCAATAACGACAATTGAACAGCGTGATGAAAGCCGTCACATTACATCGAGTACATCGGTATTCGGCCGCAAACCAGCACTCAGCACTCAGCACCCATCCCCACCCCCCATCAAAAAATAAATCCACTCTGAGAATGATTATGCAAACCCTGAATCGTTTGCTAATTCCTGAACTGAGCTCTAATWGGGTCACTGYTCCCTAAGGACTTTGGTGACGTCATATATTASCATAGAACTTCACCGAATAGACTATCCCAATTAGATATTAGATATCTATAAGTGTCTTCATAGTACGATGGTCTAAGAGGGTAGCTAAAGGTATGCTCTAGTGGGCGGCTACCCCCTCACTCCCTGGCCTTTTGGTTAAGACTAAGTTTTATGTTCACTCGGGATAGCGTGGAAGAGCCGAAATCTCTAACCGGAACGTAAGCCGATTCGACGCCTCAGCTTCACAGAATGTCTCGGGGGAATCGTCCCATCTTTTTAGTTTTTTTTATTTTCATTATTTTTTATGTATTCAGGGGGGTGCATCTTCTCCTGAAGTGAAAGTCCTGAGTTCGAGCCCTGCTGCTGGAATTTCTATTTTTTTCACTTGTTTTTTGTTTCTTTTTCCGTTTGTTTCTTTCTTTTTCTTCTTTTTCTTTTCTTCTTTCTTCTTTTTCTGTTACTACTTTGTTTGTGTTTCTCTATAGATTTTTTTTCAACTTAAAAATATCAAGGACTAGCAAGGAACGCCTGCTACAAGTGGATGGTTACGGTTCGACCACCATGACATAGTGACGAGAGGCCGCATAAAGCCTTTCGTTACAAAAACGATAYGTGATACTTATACTATGCATATAATGTAATTTAATGGAATTAGAGTGACAGKTCTTTTGGTTCCCTAGCTTGCTAAATGAGAAAACTTGAAACAGAATCCTCAAAATGCTGTACGATCTTGTATCCAAACATACTAGAGCGTAAAGAATAAAACGCAAATTGTTAACTAGTATTTAATGTGTATTTTTCATATACGGAAAGTACAATCCATTTCCATCCGTCATTTCTAAAAAGGGATCTTACTAAATATCGATCTCCACTTTTTTTTTAATAATATATTTTTTAATTTTTCAAATGCACACTTACAACTCTAGTATCCACATAAATTAAACAAAACGTACAACAAAACGTACACTACGGCTAACTACACTACGAAACACTAAATCATTTTAAGTTACATTTTTTTTTCTTTTTTCAGAAATTACAACAGGTTTCAGACTTCGATCTCCACTTAATGAAATGAGCAATTTAAAAGAATTATTGGATCGTTGTCGAATCTACTGCGTGTTCAATAACTCCAAATGATTGACAGTAGTTTTTGTATAACTGTTGTCCATAGTGATACGGTAGCTTGATGTCTTTTCGAGTTGGTACAAAGTTTCTCTTTAAAATCTCTGGAATATCCATTGGTTTGATAACAGTCTCGAGGTTGGGCTGAAAGAAAAACGCCATGGAGTAACGACTTTGCGAAGTTGTGTTCTTAACACGATGGACTGGTGCTTTGTAAAGTCCCTTTGTCCAGGACTCTATGGCGTCTCCAATCATTACCAGTACAGTTCCTGGAATATATTGAAAATGGTATGAATTACTACCAACACAGCTTTTCTCTTCCTTAGCTTCGATGCTCCTTTATAACTAGGGTGATGACATCATTCACTATATTGTGTAATAATAATGAAGTTCTTTAGAAGAAGTTGGATACGAGTGGGGATGGCAGTCAAACTCACGAAACTAGAATCTTATTGTTGTCTTGGTAAATTTGTTTCTGTTTCCGTAACAGATATTTTTTACAGGATAGAGATGTTAGCCTTATGCCCAACCCCCAACCTGGAGGACCAGGGAATTACTCTTTGTCAGTACCCTTACCCTTCGACCTGTTCTGCAGTGTTTGACATGAGGCCCTACCATTAGTTCAAGACAGCTCCAGTCAACATAGCTCTAAGGGTCAACGGGACACTCAAACAGCTCCACCACGATAAGGTGGTAATTCCGTCGGAACTGGGTGTCTAAAAAGTTCTAAAACTCTCGGATGGTTTCTATTGTGGTATCTTATCTTTATATGATGATAAAAGATTCAACAATTATAATGACAACAAAGTAAAGCTTTTAGTCACTGATATTTTGTTCATTATCATACCTTGTATTGGCGGCACATCTATCCAAGACCCGTCTTTCTTCTGAACCTGTAGCCCACCAACGTCATCTTGAAGTAAGAATGTAAAAGCCTCGTAGTCAGTGTGTTGTCCGATACCAAACTTACTGCTGTCAGAGTTGGAGGGATAATGCCAAAGATTAAAAATGTAGAAGGGCGGATTAAACGCTGACTTAAAAAAACTGTCACCAGCTTCGAACTCCATAAAAAACGCTCTGGATATCACTTTTCTGTAAAAATATATTGAGAAAATTAATCAAATATCATGAATAATAGAAGTTAATCTAACAAGCCAACTAGTCTACAAACAGACATGAAATAACATGCATGCCGGTAACCATAACAACCAAGTTGACTTCCAAATGACGGAGCATTTTATACAATAACACGTCATTGATGATCAACAACTAATCAGATTACAGAATAACGCGTGTGATATTAATCTGTATGTGCGTAATTCCAAATCAACAAATTTCAAGCCTCGCAGAGAAATGCAGAAAGCATTTCTTAAAGAATCCCAACCAACCACAATACAGCGCGCGCTTGTGTTACTGTTTACATACGCTTAAATGAGTCGAGCATGTAATAGACTTTAGATTTATAGTCCATGTGAGGTACTTAGTTAAAGTTATTTCTGTCCAAACTGAAAGGATGGAAGACGATTCGCGCTCACTTTAAGAAATCCTACGAATCCGGCGCCATTTTTGCGTCCACCTACAATGGCGCTTCGGGTTGCAGGGTACAGCGGTTGGTTGTGATTCTCTAACTGAAGATCTCTTACCCAAGCTCATTCAAGCTGTCCATAAAATCAACTATATCTTCTTTAAAAGTTGGTATATCATCAGCTTCAGGAAAAACATTATGGCCGTACATTAACGACATGTTTTGACATTCACTGCCAAATAACATCCCTTCTTTAACATCTACTTGACCTGCAGTTTGCTCTGATCCTAAAAGTAATAAGAAAACATATATCTAACGGTATGACAAGTGGATATGTAATGACAGTGCGCGCAATAGCTAGAGTAACGGGAAGGAGGTCGAATACGAAATCAAGTAGTTCGCGAAAATCTCTCACCACCCCAGTGAAAAGCGCAGCAAAATCCAAATTCTCCTATGACGATTTTCACAACATCGAGGTCGGAATGCACGAGTTTTCGTTGTAACGTAATCCAGGTACGTCGATTAAGCGCATTTCTAATGACCAATCGTTTATGAAGGGCTATATCAGAGTAATCTCTTGAGAAATGACAGATTGGAGGGTAGAGCTGGAGGCGTGGTCATGTATGTTACATTAGTTGAAACACAAGAAACGTTTAATAGAATGATGAAAGGATTTTAAAATGCGCACCTGATTCAATAGGATTATAAAAACGATGGAATGTCATGCCAATGATTTTAGAGATTCCAAAACTTGCAATTATATCGTATTTGTCGATCGAAAAAATTTCATAACAATTACGTGACGTAGCTACATACCGATCATGAAAAATATTGCTTGCCTGCGTAGCAATATAAGCCATCTTAATGACAAATCTCTTCTTACCAAAGTGCAGATATCCTCTGTACCCTTCGTTCTTCTTGTACGAAAGCCTCGCTTTCTTTTCTTGAGAAAGGTTGAAAAAATCTCGTGTGTGCTGAAGAATCAACCGTACGCGCTCCTGAGATATGCCATGCCCAGTTGCGTAGAACACTCCAAGGTCTTTAAGAGCAGAACTAATGTCTTTGATAGTTGATCGTGATCTCACGCTATCACCTAAACATTAAGAATAATTTCAAAAGACTGAGATATCAACTGCCTTTTTCTGAACAAAATTCTTCTTTCAAATCTTACAATACGCCGACAAAATAAAGTACAACGAGAAGAAAGGTGGAGACACCGAAGGCTTCATGAGAGAATTCAAATAAAATCAACAAATAAAAACAGGGTTGCATGATAGAGTAGAGGAAAAGAGTCTCTCAGCATTTACTCCCAAGTACTCCGACGAAGGATTAACATTTGTTTCACCAATTTTTTACGGTGTTAAATTTATCTTTTTACACAACTGTTTTGTTTAGAAACACGCAGCTCACACTAGTTTACCGCTAGTCAGCTTAACCATTTCAGCATGTATGCCTCATTCTAGAAACCCTGGACAATAACATCCTAACATGGTGGCATCGAAAGCGAAGACCTAGGAGACCCAAGATAACCTAAGGCCCCAATTCGAGACAATGAAGGAGGTTAAAATGCAATGAATCACGGCTAACCTTCCAATAGGGGTGTCACATCGATGACCGGTAGTTGTGGGGACATGTCTTCCTACGTGAGATTTCAAAATAGAGTGTTTAGTTTAATTCGACCAATGTCGAGTTCCTTATCTGTTCACATGAGATCTCGCTCATGTACTGAGTGCACGTTCCATGACGTTCGGATCAAGGAGAACTAACCTCCTTCTTAACCTTTCCTTCTCATGTACACGGCAACGCAGCCCAAAAGACGCAACAATGACATCATTGGTTTTTGAGTTCTTGTCAATGACGTCATAATGAATTCTTACTGATTGACGATGCCAACAAACACTTTTGTTTGCATTTCTCTAACCGTGTGTTACTATTGGCTATGAACGATGACAAATCAACAGCATTGTTACATTGATCGTCACATGACATGGAATCCGGAGCTTCCCTGGAGTCCGGATTCCATGAAAGATTTCGAAAGGATTTTGGATTTCACCATATTAGATTCCGAATGCAAAATATCCTCTTTTTCGGTCAGAAACATATAAAAATAAATTCACTGATTTGGATTCGCGCACTCCGGATTCCAAGTGATATGGGGTGACATTGACCAAGGGCGCTAGAACAGAAATTATGACCTATAAGATGGAAAAATTGCAGAATTTATCCAACTTAGATATTCGATAATGAATAAACTTTTACTTATCTTTATAATATTCATTAATAATTCATAAGTTACCCAGCCATTCAGTGACCGTTATTATAGTCACATGACTACCCTTGTATTCACCAATACAAACTTAAAGCGCGGAGAGGGCTTGAATTCAGGGTAGGGAAAGGGTGGGGTTGATGAATAATAATGAAAATGAGATCTATTAGTATTCTATAAAAATACAGAATACTAATAGATCTATTATGGTTCGGTTTTCGGCCTCAAAGACTTTAAGGTGCCTATGACGCCCAACACAATAATTTCTGATTCTCTGTGAACTGAATCTATAAAGTGAATAATCGAATGGTGAAATATTTCTTCAATTCAGTGTTGCATCTTTGAGAGTTATGAAGGTTCAGTCTTACTATATCCTACTAATATGACGTCAAGAAAACCTTCATTGGATATACTAAAGTTGTGAAAAACAGTCGCTCAAAACTGTTTTCATAAACGCCATCTGGGAATATTGAGGTATTAAGCCATTCTTGAAGCGACTTCTTCAACGTTCGTTCGTAAAGAAGTCGAATATATGTCTGACCATATACGACTTGTCAATGTTCACTTTACCAAATTTAGCAAACATGATGGCAATCGTCAATCACTCGGTCATTACTTACCTACATCTTATCCATCATTGATTGACAGGTCTCCGACTCAGTGTGCAGTGGAACTGCACTTACTCAGAAACAACATGTATTACTTTAATTTTTCTAATAAAATTATATGTTTTTGGAAACATGTTTTGAAGGGTATGGTTCCTCTTAAAAGATTACGCCTCGCTATTCTGCATCGTAGCTCCTAGCCGATACGTTCTAATAAAACAGAAATGTAAAGCTACAAGTTGGTGTTTTGCAATTGTCTCCTGAATGTGAAAAAAGAAAGACGAACTATTCATAGCGTATTTGTCACAAATTTTGTTTCGTATTGTTTAGATACGGTTCGGAGAAGGTCCAAGCTTACCGGGTGATTTACACAATAACTGAGTTACATTTCAAATTGACCTACAAAAATTAAAACGAACGTTGTTTTACAAAGATTGAAAGATTCAAGATTGAAACACCAACTTTTAGCTTCATAACTCTGTTATATTCGAACATGTTTCGGGAATTTGGCCTTTTTCAGACAACTGACTATGTAGATAAATATATATATTTTTTGCACCACTGAGTATACATGGAGTATGCGACCGCAGATTGATTACTTACCAAGATTAACTCCGACGAATGTTTCGCGGATATATTTAAACAAACTGATCTCAGCCACTTTACAACATAAAGCAAGACACTTCACTGCGCACGCCTGTAAATTATGGAACCGCCCGCGTACGTCAATACCACCGCCATCTTCAAGTGTACATTAAGCACTGATGGAGGTCTACCAAAGAAGACTGAAACGTCTTTTTTAAAGCACAAGACACACAAACCGAATTAGGAGACGTCAATCATACACACTCGTCGTGATTAGGGACTGCGCAATATTTATCAGAATGGGGGGGGGGGGGGGGGGGGAAGTAAATCTAATTTTATGTGATTAAAGAGGGGGCCGGAACGTCTAAAATTTACTAGAACTTTAATTGGAAACTGAAAAAACAACGGTGTTAATTGAGATGCGAATGCAGCCTACTACTGGAAAAGACTCCAGAAAAAATCTGACTTTAAACGGGATTCGAACCCACGACCTTTGCGATACCGGTGCAATGCCGTCTACCAACTGAGCAAAAGTCAAATTTTTTCTGGCTTCTTTTCCAGTAGTAGGCTGCATTCGCATTTCAATTTATTCTCTCCAACTACTGAAGGACATACATAATATATATAAAAACGGTGTCAGTTCTGTGCTTTTTCGCCAAGTACCAGTATTGAAGTGGAAATTTTCAAGAAAAGCGTGCCACGATTTGCGACAACTCTCTGATTCACACGCAGGGGGGATGACGTACAGCCTTTTTGCAAGAGTTTAGCACTGATGGAGGTCTAAGAAAAAAAGACGTCTCCATACAATTTTTTTGATTTTATATTTAAGTCCACATACACAGAATGTCATCTGCCAACACATGCTTGACTGTCATCAGTCCAGACCGAAGGAAACGCCAATCATGGCGAAAATCATGCATGCACAAAGTTCTCATGGTAATTCGGTTACAGGGGCGACGCAGACGAGAGGTGGCTATGGTCCGGGGCTATATATTCCCCCAACTTTTTCAAAGCTCTATAAAACCATCTCTATTCTCTTAGTATTCCAGAGTACTGCTTTTACTTCGAGTTTTAAATATATAAGCCTCACGTAAAAAACGCTGCGCCGCTCCTGAATAGATGATGCCCACCATAGATAGTTGATAGTCCTGAAAGCTGGCACGTTTAGCAATGGAAAGTGGGTGGTCAATACAGATAGACTAATCCAAGGATTTTTGCATAATGAATATTATTTAAAAAACTTGAATATTGAATAACATATCAACATTGTTTTCTCGACTAATAAATCTATCACTCAGTATTTTCTTTAATCTTTAGAGGATCCTTTAGAATTCAGTAAACATAGCTTTAGTACCTATAGTATTTAGTTGACTCATAGTAACATTTAAATTTTATACCATCTAGTAATATATTCAGTAATTGAATTTTCATTAACATTTACATTTAGTATTTTTATCTAGAAACTAGTAGTAATAAAGTATTTCCAAAGGAGACAAGGGCGTGGTGGATTTGGGGGTGGGGTAGGGGGCTCATGCAGTGGACCCACGGCCGAAGGCCTTACGGACGTCACACTATTCTTGATGATATCGCGACGATTAATGACAATCCATAAAATTATTACACAGAAATTCTGTAATCATAACACTTAGAGTGCTTCAATGATTAAACTTTTCGTGTTAATGTATAGTCGTGGAAAGTTATTGACGACATTTTGTCGAGAATGAGCCAGTGATGAGCGTGGTCCATTTAATAGCAATAAACCAAATCGGGTGCCGATTATTAGGAGACATATGTCCTACTTGATAGAAACAAGGAATGACATAATTTGATATGTCTCGATCTAAAAGACTTATTAATGTTTAAGAAGCCACGTATGGGAGTATTTCTCTGAATTACGATTTTGGGAATTACATCTCTTTTGATGAGGAGAGTGACGTCGAAACGTCAAACTTTCTTTCGCTTATTTACAAAAAAACTAGGTGAGTAAATACACCTGTTTTTTTAAACGTTCTGTCAGTCCTGCTTTATAATTTTAAAAAACTGATAGAAATTCCCATTATACAATTCCATAATTACATAAAATCAAACACTGTGCCGGACACTTTTTATAATGTTTCAGACGTGCGCTGAATGTACTTGTGATAGCTTTGGTCAAAGTTTCGTGCTACGGATATAAAAGCATTTGTCATTGAAATATCTCTAATGACCAGTTGTTAAATATTAGCGAACTTAACTTACTAATGGATTCTTTGTTAATAGCATTTTAATAATTTCAAATAATTATAAAAATGATTTTTCCTTTTCTAAAGTGCAGTAGGAATCCGATAAGGATTATATATATGCTTTTTATGTTGCCCGAGCAAGAAAATTTTTTCAATGTTTTAATTTAAATTTAATGAAAGAATACAAAAAATTACAGTTTCTTTACCAACGTTCAGTGAAATTTGTGCATATATTACTCTTCCAGCATGCTGCCTCAGCCGTAGTAGGGAAGCGGAAAAAGCCAAGACATGACATAGAATCTGACGTCATCGCGAGAAGTCATTTCAATTATTAAATATCATTAAGGTTTTTCTCTCCGTCTGGTCTAAAATCTAATGCACGTTGTGGGGGGCAACGCGAAAGCTATGCTACTTTGGCCCTCACTACATATTAAATATTGAGCACTGTAATACCGCCAGGGAAAGAAAGCAAAGTTCACTCAGTTTATCTTATATTTGAACTGTGATACTTAAAGAAATCATTGTAGTAAACGTTGACTTGACTGTACTACAACGAAACATATGATACTAAGCGTATACTTAAAACTTTTTAATGAAAAATATAACCAAGAACCAAGTGAAAGATAAAGATGAATGTCAGATCTGAAAATAGATTTGACGTCATTCTTGGTGTCGGATAACAGCTATATTTTCATTATTATAGACTCAAACTGACGTCTAATCAATATTATTATGATATATATAATTGTTAGAATTGCTAAAGGTTTCATACGTTTTTTGATGGGAGCATCAAATCCCTTGGTGTGTATATATTTCAAATTATCCAAAGGCGGCAAATTATTCCTTTGGGAGACCCAGAGTGCTTTGCAAGACTAAGCCCTTCCCTTCATAAACTCTTGTTGCTCAACGTTGATGACCACGTTGTCGGTGTTCAGCGCTACAAACGGATAACAGAGCATACCAAGATCATAAGGTACAGGGATGGAATTCTTTTTGTTTGTGTCCGTTTGACTAAAAAATAAGCTTGACTCGTTGACACGAAGCAGACATATGTCTTGCAGACGAATTGTAACTTTTGTCTTTGGCTCAAAATCTACGCATGGATTGTTAATCGTTCTGCAAGAGGTGTCTGTCTATCAAAGGCCAACGGTCTAGTCATTATGTAGAGTATACTGAAGATACATTGCCGTTGCTTTTTCCTTGATTGTATGTAGATGAATCATCAAGCGATCGATCGTTTATGTTAAATCGATTGTATATAATCGTGTTTATTGTGTGGCACTCCATGTAAAATGTTTCCAAGTCAGCGAGAACAATATTACGGATATCAATTTAAATGAAATTACAACCATGTAGGGAATTTAACGATCAATATTGACAGTTATTTTCGTCTTTATACCGAGAAATTATATTGAAAAAAAGTACGTGTAAAATTACAGTTCGATGTTGATATTGCGGTTGGTTGGTATTATGTCAAATGGCTTCGAACGTTGTTCATCAGATCACGAATTAATTGCTCGCTTGAATAATATAGCTCAAAAAAAGTAAACGAAGGACACCCATTGATAGAAATTTGGTTGTTTATTTTAATAAACAAAAAAGATTTTCTATGCTGTTCACTTGGGCATAGCGTTCTGTTGTAAATCAAGGCAACAACAAGTACACCATTAATTGCGTGACAGAACATCATTTCACATTCTACTCTCAACACTTCACAGTAACGTTCCTTTCTTCGAAGGAAGGCGCGAGAGTAGATTACTTCGTTAGAAGAGTTGTACTCTGACCTTTAAGTGAACTGTCATATGACAATGGGTGACCAGTGTTTACCTCGTTACTCGGCAATGGCCGAGTCGCTTTCACGCTCCATTACTCGCTTTTTTATTCATTTGAGGTAATATTTGCTTGAAAAACAGCTTAAGTCGTTCCTAATCATTATAAGTTTTGCACCTTTCAAAGTTACATATAATGAACTTGGTCGTTTAAGCCTGGTTTCCATATAATCGTTACAATCGCTAGGATCGCAACGATCGCCGAAAATGTGGCTCAACAATCGTAGCGATCATATGGAAACACTCTCCAGCGATCCTGGCGATCCTAGCAACCTCGATCGCCGAGATAGAATCTGAGCGATTCCAGCGATCGAGATTGCTAGAATCGCCAGGATCGCTGGAGAGTGTTTCCATATGATCGCTACGACCGTAATCCGTAACTGTCAACCTGGTGATTGTTTGCGACATGCATGTACTTTCGACGTGTAAAGTCGAAATGATGATCAGCTTTTGTATCTAAAAATAAACCCGAACAGATGTCTTATGCGTAATGACTCTATGTACGAAATAAAACTTTAAGCCCTGATATGATTTGATTGTCGGACGTTTTATACCCATAGGGTTGAAGCTAAAATTGTTAAAAAGATCCTTTTTGAACCCATATTTTAAAAGATCTTAAAAGATCGTTATTGTTGTCTTTGTTGTTATGCAGCAGAACTTGTTGTTGTTACCATTGTTCTGTAATTTGCTAGCAACATAATTAGTCTCGTGTTTGAGCAAAAAAACAAATAACAGCTGAGATATTATTCCAATGTTCACTGGGAGCTACTAAAAGCATATCATGTGTAATAGTTTTCCTTCGGAACTTCACTAACACATGTAAAATGTTATACCTTGTTTCTTTTGCTACTTAACTCTACAATTGTTTTCTTTCTTTTTCAGATTGAAACATAAATAGCACTAAAGATGTTGAGAATTATCCGAAACAAATTTAGAAGACATCACAGAGTTTTCATTTATTTTCTTATAATAATCGTGCTGTGTGTCTTTATACACAGCAATCTGAACTCAGGGCAAATCATTGCTGCAAGGGATCCCATTGCATTTGCAAATGTATTCCAAAAAATCAACTTTACAAGATTAGAATTGAGTGACGTATCATTTGATACAACAATACAACCTTATACTGGCATTATTCAAGAAATTGAAACAACTGTAGAATCAATAACTAATAATTATACAATTAATACAACTACATCTATGCCTGTTACAACTACAAACCCAGGTGCATACAGAGTTGGTCATGTTCATTCTCATTTATGGAGGTCAATATGTACTGTAAATACACCTAGTCTTGTACAACATCCATTATTTCCACTTTGGCCAAGTGCCCGTGGTCACCCAGAGATGCCTGATGAACTTGAATCGGTTATGTCTGATCCCTGGTCTGCGCAAAGGATTACTGGACTGCTATATCCCCCTGTTTCTGGGAAGTATAGATTTAAGATATATTCTGACACGTTATCAGAGTTTTGGTTAAGTTCAAGTGAAGAGCCTGGGAAAACAAAGTTATTAGCGCGAAACAATCGAAATATAATCCATAGTATAGAGTTTGAAAAAGGACCACTTATTCCAGTTTCAAAAAGAGTTCATCTACGTCATGGTCAAGCATATTTTTTTGATATTCTACACGGAGTCAACAATGCAGGGGAAAAAAGGGTCCGCATTCGGTGGATGTTGCCCAGAGCCAAGATTTTCACAGGAATCCCAAAGACTGCAGTGTCTACATATCTAAGCAAAGATGACAGCTTAGACCCAGTAGCAAGGAGATATCTTCTAAGTTCAGCCAGTCTTGCCAACAGTGAACAAGTGTTGAAAAGTGCAAGGATGTATCATTGGGAAAATAAGAATTTTTCAAAGCCTTTTCGACCGTATTCATCCTACAACCGTGAAAATTTATTCACCGTGAAATTTGCTAATCGCTGGCAAATTATGTCAGTATTTAAAGAATGTGAGTATGCTCCAAGTTACACAAAGAAAAGAAAGTTTAAGCGATTTGAAGGTGTTCATCACACACATTACACCGATGTGTTTCCTTATGATGAGTCCGGTGGGAAGTGGTGGTCTGAGAATGCTCCAAAACCTGTAGATGCTGCTGGTAATGCAGTTGTCAGTGAAAAGGATGTTATTGATATTGTCAAGAAGTTTATGGCGGCAGTTGAGGCCGAATTTCCCGGGTAAGTATTGTAATATTACTGTATGTATTATATATTATGTTGCTGCAGTCTGCTTCGACATTATACTTAGGACATCATGGTTTTCATCTTTTTACGAGTGCAACATTACTGTACGACTTACCCTCCCTCCCTTATTTCCCCTCCTGAATAATTTGGTAGTTGCAATGTAAAATATATAAAAAGCAGTATGGTGCAAATGGCGCATCGTAACACAAGGCCATGATGATCACAAAAATTTCATATCAGTGATCTCTTAACACATGTTTAAAGAAATTGTACATTATTTTGAGTCGTACATGTACGTGTATGTCATTGTATTTGCCACATATATATATATTATATATTTGTTGCAGCGAATATATCCTCGCTAATGTTATCAACTTGGAGCGCAATGTTGACAAAGAGTATGGTAAACGTTTCTTCCTGGAGTTGTTGCTAATTGAGACCAGAACAAAACAGTTACAAAGAATATCAGAGTTTGTGTATCAATTAAAAAGCAATCCTAACACCCTTTGTAAGCCTAAGGGTTTGAAATGGTCTCCAAGGGTTACTGTAAATGTTATTTTAACAACAAAGAATCAAGGACCTTGGGTWATCCATTATATCAAGAATATGGCAGAGATTGTTCATGCTACAAGCGATGATAATGTGCATTTTATTGTAGTGGACTATGGAAACAATGGTGTTGATGTGGCTGGAGAATTTAGAAAGTAAGTGATATATGAATATCAGTAGAGTTTTGCCAAATAAAGATTCATTTGAGCTGCAGCAATCACTGCACTCAACGTAGGGTTTGACAATTAAACATCTAAACTATTTTAGCATGTAATTATACACCCTTTTAATAAGTCCCGAGGTATTACGTTCTCCGCACTTGACGTCAAATTTATTCTTTTGGATTCCTTTTGTATTGTAAAAATTTCAAAAGAATAAATTTGACGTCAAGTGCGGAGAAAACAATACCTCGGGACTTATTAAAAGGATGTATACCTTTAAAGCTATCACTATTTTCAATCATTCCCATGATATTCAAAAGCAAAAGAGCAGCAGCCATGTTGGATGAATGAACAATGGATAATAATAAGAAATCCTTTGTTGAAGTTCAGACAAAATGGTGGTGTATCGTATATTGCAAACAATGAATCTGTGAAACCTCAAGGCAGTCTAAAATAATTATGTTATGAATGTACTATATTCTGGATTAGCTCAAGCAACACAAATGTCATTCCATTAATGCTAAATTACAATTTTCTTTTCAGATATAATGTGACAAACTTTACAATAATGAAAAAAGAAGGGAAGTTCCATAAAACATTGGCAATAGATGAAGCAGCCAAGTCTGTCAAAGATGACAACAGTATTGTATTTCTAACTGATCTCCACCTTAATGCACCTCACAGTCTGTTTGAAAATGTTAGAAAAGTAAGTCTTTATACATTGAAAGTTTAGCGTCTTACCTCTTGTTAAATGTACTGTAAAGAGCAGTAGTTCACTAACCTATTCTCCATGAAATAAAGGAAAGTTATAGTGCCTAAGCATGAATTTCTTTAGCGTATAAGCATAGCATAAGCACAAGCATGAGAATCATGTGCGCCAGTGAGAACGGGCTGGGCATAAGCATAAGACATTCAGCATGCACACAAACGTTTTATTTCGGTACCAGGCTATGCTTATGTCTATGCAGTCCATTCTCACTGAGCATAAGCATGAGATAAGCACAAAGATCAAGACTTGCTCATTTTTCTTGTGCTCATACTTATAATTATTTTGAGCCCGTTCTCATTGGCGTGTATGACTCTTGTGCTTTGTGCTTATACCTATGCACTAGTGAAATCCACGCTTTAACTTATTCTACATGTTCTTTTTTTTGGCTATACAGCACACAGTTCAAGGGAAAATGACATTCACGCCAGTAGTTTTTCGTCTGTCTAAATGTGCTCGTCCTGATAGCTATTATAATACAACAACAGCGAGTGGATTTTGGGAAGGTTTTGGATATGGAATATTTAGTAAGTACCTTATCATTGCTTATTTAGCTGTGATGTATACTATTTAATTTAAGTAAAAAAAGGCAAAGCATTTATCTTGATATATCCATGCCAGAAAATTGAAAACATGTGATCTATAATAGTTGATAAGGGAAACAGAATTAGAAAATAATGGCTTTGCCAAGCTCTGATTGTTTTAGCATTTTCATGTGCAGTCTTTTAACAAATGAATATAAATATATGATCCACAAGCCTTGCAGTTTGTTCAGCCAAAGGAAAATTCAACTATCTTTTATAAAACAAATTTAGATTACGAAGCCTGGAGATTTTATTCAAACAAATACGTTTGTTTATAGTTTTGTTTTGTTTTTGTTTTGCTGGTTGAAAACCTTTTGTCCAACAATATTTTTTATGGTGATTGTGCATAACTTTCAGGTACCTACAAGAGTGACTGGAAAGCCTTTGGAGGGGTTAACGTCACTCAATTCAAACACAAATGGGGCGGTGAAGATTGGGAAATGGTGGACAGAGTCTTAGCCAAAGGATACGAAATAGAAAGAATACGACTTCCTTACTTTTACCACTTTTATCATGATAAAACTGGAATGTGGAATCAAGCATAAAGTTGGTAAACCATTTAATAGAGTGCTTACAGTATTTCCATGAAATAAAATCTAAATAGTTACTACCTAATAGTTCTTGTTTAGTGACTATTATTAGAGAGGTTTAGCATGACGTTCACGGCAAACAGCAGAAAAGATCACATGATCTGCTTTTTTGGAGTTTAACGTTACAGCTTCAATGCCAGAGTGGGCTATTTTGGGGTTGACATAATCGTGAAAAGTCGCTCTTTCCAATGACTACCTAAAGCACAAGGTCAGGCATGAAATTCTTAGGTCATTGCTTCAGCTCTGCCATTAGTCATTTGCCGTTAACGTGATGCTTAAACTTTCTAATGACTATCATTCAACTGGAACAGTCTTAGTAACAATTGTACATTCTGTACACTTGGGAAAATGAATACAAAGGAAATTATAACTAACATCTACATGTACTGTTCCAGTTTAGTGATTGCAACTACACTGTAATAGTCACTAAATAAGAACTATTAGGTAGTAACTATTTAGATTTTATTTCATGGACATAGTGTAAAGCACTCTAAATCTTTAAATCTTTAAATCAATATTATACTTTCTATCATAATAAAGATTGCATGAATACAGTAAAGAAATTCAATCAACAAATAGGAATAATATAATGATATATATGATATATTATGATATGAGAGTTTGTCATAATCTCTATATAGAGCGGATTTCGTATGAGTGGGAAACGGACGGTACTGTACTGTGTCCGTAATCGTACTGTAACCAAATTCTAGTGCCCCATTGATTCACCAAAATTCTGCAGGCCAGGTGCGGTAACTGTACGGTAACCGTGCGGTAACGGTGTCCCACTCATACGAAATCCGCTCTAGTATATGTAAGTGATTGTCAGTGACTGACAAGATCTTTTTGAAAACCCTTGAAATATTGTGCTTATAGTATTTATTTTCTGTTTTTACTTTGATAGAATGATCCACATTTACAGCTTCTTTTACATTAAGATAAAATACAAAAAATCAGATTTATTTATAAGAGCGAGATATTTTAACTCTGAAACAAAAGTAATGATTATTAATTATTGCTTATTATTAATTATTGATTATTATTATTATTGCTCTGGCATTTATTTTATATTATATTCATTAATAATATTATGCATTATTCAATACAATACAGAGCTTCCTTAAACTAGACTGTCCTATATTTACTGTAAACTAGACCTGGTCAACCTCTACCAACTGGTCACCTGTTTTTTTTCCCTGGACAGACTGTTTAATAGAGGTTCAATTGTATTAATCATTATAAAATTTTTGATATATAACGCGCGCTCTGATTGGCTGAAGACCGTGTTTATATCAGAGGACAGAGACACGACTTACCGGAAAAATTTTCTTTATAAAAGAAATATAAAACGGCCGCTTGTGTCTCTGTCCTCTGATATAAACACGGTGGGAGTTGAAAAACACTCGGGAAGCAAGAGAAACACTCGCTACACTTGTGTTCCTAAGCTTGCTTCTCTCATATTTTTCGAACTCCCACCGTGTTTATATCAGAGGACAGAGACACGCACGCCTTTTTATATTTCTTAAATATATTGCTATAAATACCTTTTATAACACAGATCAAGCCTATCACTAGTAAATGAGCAAAATTATCAACAAGTTTATGAATATCTCTCTCACTTAAATAATGTTTATAATTTCATATACATAGAGGATATTGTATGGGCCTTTCAAGTGCTAAAAGGATTGATCTCTCACAATTGGGCATAGTGTCCATATAATATTCTTTTTGTAATATGATTATCTGTTAAAGCAAATTATGTTGTAAAATAACTTTTATTTACCTCCAATGTCATTTCACTAGCAGGAAATTTAACAATGTAACGAAAGTGAGAAATATAGGTACACCTACTTGCAGAAACGTTGTCATAGAAAATAGAACATTTGAATTTAGTAAAAAGGAATAAATTAAAAAAAGACAAAAGAAAGCGTTCAGCCTCAGTGATCTTCTTTTGTCTTTTTAATTTATTCCTTTTTACTAAATACAAATGTCCTATTTTTTTATGACAACATTTTCGCAAGTAGGTATATTTCATTGATAATTATTGATCATTTACAACCATTCCCATCAGATTCCAAATATAAAAGACCGATTACGATGTTGGAGGAATGAACAATAGATACTAATAATGAGAAATCCTTTGTTGAAGTTCCTCCAAGATGGCCGCTGCGACATATAGAGTGGTTTTCATTAACCCGTGAAACAAAGTGTAATAGTCAAAGTGTAATAAAGTGTAATAGCCAAGAAATATAATAGAAAACAAAAGAGACAAAGTGTAATAAAGTATAATACGCTAAAGTGTATATCACGGGTTAATGAAAACCACTCTAGTGAAATCAGAGAATATGATAAACATATAATTATGTACACCTCTAAACTAGCTATTATTTATTAATAGTAGTATTTGTGTGCACTCTAACATAATAATCTTTTAATAATTATTGATGAAGCTTTTCTTCTTTCCCTTTTAGACGCGAGGCATAATAAGTTATATATTAATAAAATTCTGTAAATAGATTCTTGAAAATAATATAATGCAAAATAGCATATAGAGTGCGAATAAAATAGAGCCATCACATTTACATCAACATTTATATCTGTGATATAAACAGCAGACTTTAAGATAAGTGTATTCAAATTGTGTTCTTTGTTTTGTGGTAGAGTGCAGGCATTAGAGTAATGGAAAAAGCTTAAGTGCCATGAATAGCCGATTTATGAATTTTGCATCAGTAGTCACACACAGAGGAATCAAGTTGAGGCGCCGTGCATAAAGCTCAGTCATTTGTAAAGAGAGAATTGTTTTTCACAATTCTTGAAATTTGTCGGACTTGGACCTTAAAGGAGTTTCKAAWCTTCATATTGTAGGACGTCAAAATAATTTCAACTTTTATCCCTCCTTTGACACACAGAAAACACAATGTTTGAGGAAAACTAGTTTCGTGAATAGACGAAACTAGTTTTCCTCAAACATTGTGTTTTCTGTGTGTCAAAGGAGGGATAAAAGTTGAAATTATTTTGACGTCCTACAATATGAAGTTTTTCACAATTGAATGAGCTTTACGCATGGTGCCTCGTCTTGATTCTTTTGTGTTTAACAATTCATAAGTTGGCTATTGAGCTGAATTATAAAAAATCATTTGTTTTCTGTTGTTGAATCTACACTATATTGTACTATTTAGGAACCTACTATTGACAGGCTTTTTCGCTCTTTTTAGTGCTTGCACTTCAGTTTTT